TCTTTACCAAATTCGAATTTCGAAAATTAGATTTAAATCTTATTTCGTATAGAATTCTATCATGTTCGAAATTGTATCACCTTATCCTATATATGTTTAGCATTTGATAAACTATTTAAAAATTAAGAGAAAAAGGTACACGTTAAATTTGTCAATATATTTTATATCTTTTCTTTTGTAAGAGAAAGAATTGTGAACGAAATGGATTTGTTCTGTTTCGTTCTCTATTCTTCAAAGCTCCTAAATTTGCGGTTGCATGTAGACTCGCGTTCATGCATAATTTATGCATACACATGACTGGGGAATTACCTGAATACGGCACAACGTATGTGCGAAGGTGTATGGTAACTGCAAGTGGACTGCAATTACGGTTGCTGTACTTGCACTTTGGAAACCCCGGCCGCGACGGGTGAGATCGTTTGGTCGTGGGTTAGTCGGACCCCTATCTCGAGGCGGCATGTCCGCGAAATTTCACGACGCGTTCAGCGCTCTGTACGCTGTCCCACACGCACACTATACGGGCAAGAATTTCACGGATCCTCGGTGAAACCAGTTTTCGCGACAAGGAAAGCGTTTATGCGCCTCGCTTTAATCTGCTCGCACTTCGCATTGACGGTGCTATCTTCGAACCGTCGCTCACTTTTACGATTGTTTACGTAATAGCAGCGCAACATGGCTTTTTAACGCTGCAGCTTTCAGCATTGCCATTCTATTCCCTTGCGAGTTATGTTATTGTAGTATTATTGCGCAAAACGAATGATAGCTCTGAAGACGTTTATTAAGTCTTAATTGATTTCAACATACTGACAATAAGTGAATTTGAAGTTCTTTAATCATTATAATAACTTGAAATTGATATTGATTAAAAAAGTTGCAATTAAATATGTTCAAAATAGGTTGTTCACGATCGAACTATTCAAAATTGACTCTAATGTGTGGCATTTTGTTTCCATTCTTTTCTAGTCTTGATTTACAATAACGATTGCAATCTGCGATCTTCGCAAATTTCGTCTGGCTGACAAATAGCGTTATTTCGTCTGACAAACCGGCGCACCTGTCTCTAATGATATTCCGCACGTTCTAGCTATCGTGTAAACTTAATAAGCAGATATAGTGTTGTCTCACGGGCGACTGTCTCCATTATGTAGTGCTACTCTATTACATTCCATTCAGTAATTTAATAACCGGTTCGTTGTGTTCGGGACGCAAACTCGTTACCCGGTACAAAGCGAGGCTTCCTGCCTACGCGATGACCCCCATACGATCCCTGATACGAACCCCCTCCGGATTTTCGAGGGATGATAGCGGATGATCGCTAACGCCACACGTCGTCCGCGTTGCGATAGCGTGCGGCTACTGCAGTCCCCGTTGCTCGCGAGAAGATCGGGCATCGTGCACGTGGATCATGTCCGTTATCGATCGTGCCGGATGCCGGCCGAAATAGACTATCGTAAATCGCAGGCACGGGTTATTCGCGATATCGATTGTACGCATCGGTATGATACGAAGGGTGGTGTTTCCTCTCCACCGATTGATAAAAAGTGAATACTATATTATATTACATGTGCGTATTTCTGCATATTTGTGTTATTTAATAATAATGTTATTAATAATAATAACGTTATTTATATAATAACGTTCTAAATAAGATGGTTTCCGATTTCACATAGACTTTAATGCGTATGTTTCATTCGCCGTAAATTAAATTGTGAAATGTTTATGTATAGTCTATTTTAGCATTTTTGGAATAGCTAAGATTTAAATTAGTCGTTTAACTCTTTTTTTATACTGTTCAGAATGTACGATCTAAGACATTGTTTTTTTTTTAATATTCTATAAGTACTCCGCTTTATTCTTTATCGTACATGAGATATAATACGTTCAATAAAGTAAAAATAAATAGCTTATGTTAATAGAGAAGGATTTCCTTTATGAGAATGTTTCAAACAAATCTGCTTAATTATACACGCGGTATTTGTCCTTGACCGGGAATAGTCTGGCACACTAAAGTTATATGAATAGTCCACGCGATGTGTGGGAAACGATGTGTAAAAGAGCGAATCAACGCATACCTACAGAATCGCAAACAGGACACGCCTATAGATCACAATCGTGGAATTTTCAATAGAGAATCGCAAATTGGTGGATTCAAAAGTTTTTCGAACGTGCGATACGATTGGGATTGTAGTCACACGAAAATGTCGAATCCGCCAATTGAAATTCGCTGTTGCAATATCAGCGCCGCTGCAACGACCTACTCGTTTGACGTGGCCAACGGCTATAGCGATATTAACGCGCCGCGTCCGCGCAAATCTTCTTTCTGATCAATACAGAAAACATGAAAAGCGGGGAGAGGAAATTGGACGCGATGGAAAAATGGAAAGAAGCGCTCGGAATGCATAGCGCGGCGCATTCCGGCCGTTGCTCAAGTGAGAGTGAAGTCTCGATGGAGATTCGCGTCTGGCCTCTTCACGAGCGGATTTTCAAGGAGCGCGTACACACACGTACACCGTGTGTATGTGTGTATACGCGCGCACGCAGGCGTGCGTAATGGAGCTTACGTTACGAAGCTCTTGCGTGTGTAATACGTTTCTCCGCTCGGAAAATGCCGGACGGAGTGCCGAATGCGTTGCCGAGATAAAAGCGCGAGTCTCGAGATGCGTGAGGCATATACGTACATATACGTGCATGCGTTACGAATGTGTGCTATAATATCGATATCTTGGAACGAGACCGACGTCTGCATCTAAGAGTTTAAAAATGACGGGTATATTTATCCCATATGCCTTTGTGTACTTTTGTGAGATTATATAAGAGATTTTTTTTAAACCATTGATAGTTAATTATCATTTACAATTAATATATCATCTGATATTGTTTAATTTTTATGTCATTGTTAGATAATCTGACACTTTATAAATGTTACATTATACGTTTTACAATCGTAACGTGAAATTTATAGCACACTATTCATTCAGGAAAAAGAGTCTGTCGTTTATTTTATTCGCTTGAAGAATTTTCGCCAGAGAATAAAATTGTTTCGCACCCCTGTTTATTATTCAAGATGCGGGAATCGGCACGTTCGAAGAAATTAACGCCGACGCTTTTTCCCCGCGGAATGCTATGAAGTAGGAAACTATATATATTTGCGAGGATGTTTTGTTAACACTAGCGGGACGCGTCCGGTCGTGAATGGCGTGTGAATCACGCGACGAGGTATACACACATGGAATTCGAAGCACGGAAATTATCGTTCTGAGTATTACGAAAGACCTATGTCACGCGATAAAAATAGATGTAGGTGCGCTGAGAGAGAAAGGTGGCCTCTGTAAAATCGAGAATGCATCTTAAATCGATTGACTGAATAATTGAGCAGCGTACGCGTTAATGCGACGAGAAAGTGACTAATTATATTGAAGATTCCTTAGTTATCGGAGACACTTATCAGAAATAGTCGTGGTATTTATAATTGTTAAAAATGTCATGATGATTATACTAACATACACATGGTATACTATTTTCTTTCTCTTTTAATGAGTTAAAAAAAATTATTTTTGATAAACTGTGACAAAATTCTTCATATGTTTTAAATGTTATATATATTATAAATGGAAATAGAATGATAATAGAATGATAGATAATATTTATTAAAACATTTTCTGTTTTCTTAAATTTTTTTATTTTCTATATAAATTTTTTTATACAAAAATATAGCAAAATAATTTTAATATAACAGTTGAATGCGTTGTAATTAATTAAATCGAGTCATAGATCGTGTTTACAGAAATATGAGATGAGATAACATCGAGTAAAGACATATGTAGCTATTATATTTTAAATAATATTAAATATCAAATTTTTATACCAAAATAAAGTTTTTAATGTTTAAATTTTACATCAAATAACGAGGTAGATCGCTTCACCTAGCCGTGTGAAAAAGTAGTTCACACAGCCTTGGGACGACCTGAGCCTCTTCAAAAATTGGTTCGCTTAAGTCAGCATAGCTAAGCGTTACCAAAGCTTTATATTTTCCTTACTCATTAGTTTAAGGCACGAGGATCTGCTCTCTCGGCCGCTTACTTATACCCGTCGAACGGATTTCTTCGCGCGAGATAGTATTCGACTGGTTTGCCATCTATCCAGTGTAACACGTACTACAATGCTACATCCGCCAAGTTTGATTTTACAAGTATCTTGTGCTTTAACAGAACCGGTGTTGAAATAGTTGCAAAAAGGAAAATTAATTCTGATGCAAATACGACGTTTCTCTGTCAAACGCATATCGCGTTAATAGTTTTTATTCTAAATTTGCTGATTACTACAATTGTGTCTATACTTATTATTTATACTGTACCGATATTTTTGTATCTATATTGTTAGTATTTTTCTGTTCTAGTATTTTTTTAATATTTGACCATTATACAACATTTTATTTATGAGATTAGATTGCAAACAACTTGTTCGAATCATTAAAAATATTAGAATCGCTCTTCCTCTTGCAGAGGCAAGGAAAAAAATACTCAAAGGAAGGTCAGTAATACGCCTGACTACGAAAACGTCGAAGTTGCTAAGCGCACTCTAATGCTTTCATTATGCCATAATGAACGCTCTGTAATGATATTAGGCTCATTATGCGCGACGCTTATTAAAACTGTGCGTTCGGTCGGACAAGTTCCGTTTGAATATTCCAGCCAGTAACTCTACCATGGCTTATATCCTTATCAATTTGCTCCGGTAACAAATTGATTTAACCGTTCGTTGAATGGAGCGGTACAATAAAGCATGCTTATTGAAGCGGCGATAATGAAACGCTCAAAAACGTCTTAAATCTCCCTCTTTCTCCGTGGTGCTACGTCCTGCCATTTATTACGTTGTTAGGTATTGTGCTACATTCGAACACAATAATTTGTATATATCGAAAAATATCGCAAGCTCTAATGTATAACAAAATAAATGTAAGTAAATCAAATCTAAAAAAACTAAAAAAAATAGATATTTCCTTTTTTTTTTTTTTTTTGAAAGAAAGACTTTCTCTCCAAATGTAATATCATCACAGAAAACGTATATTTTTATGATTACAATCACATTACGTTTTTTCGTGATTTTATAATCGAAGTAAAGAAACTATTTTAAGTAGAGAATTTTATGAAATTATAACGGGGATAAATTTTGATAAAAATTATTCAAATATTAACTTTTACCTACAGTTAACAAATTTCACGTGTGTGTTTAACCATTACTAAAATATTTCTCAACTTATCTCGCCCAGTTTAACACATCGTATTTGCACAAAATGGGGGACACCTCCTTTTGCTCCTCACATGCAGTTACTAATTACCTCCATTTCGACAACGACCCGAGATACATGCGTAGGATCGTCGCCTGGCGAATAGACCGTCTATCCCCGGCAACCCCGCCTTCGACATTGTACGCGCCCTTCGACATTGTCCCAAACACGTTTGCATTCTCTCTCAGCTAACACCGCGCTCCCGTCCTCTCTCCCTTCCGTGCGTGTGTTATACGTGTGCTTTTCGCTCTTCCTCCTCCTCCTCCTCCTCCTTCTCCCTCACTTCCATGTGGTATCCATCTTCGATTGCGGCATCCTTGTCGTACATTGCGTTATGTGCATCGGTGCGTATTGTGCGGAATGCATTCTGCGTTTGCGTGCGTTCATCTGCATCTTGCCAATATCATGTGCCTTCGCGAACGACAGTTCAGCGAGATGAATTGTCGTTGAAGAGTGTGGGATACGTGCATTTGATGATAATACATTATCTCAAGAATATTACTAAATAATTCAAATGCTATAACAAATAGTACAAAAATATTACTTTTATATATTTTAGTTTTCAAATGGAAATTAAGTTTCTCTAAATGCTTTCTTGAATAGAGTATCGTTTAAAAGAAACAACTTTTATAATTACTTCTCTCGAATAGAATTATTTGTTACTTATTTACATTTTTGTTTTACATGTATATGAATTTTTTAGTTAATAATACTTCATTTATATAAATCTATAATTTTTCTTAGCAACGTTTATTTATTTGCTATTTTATTTCATTTGAATGAATTGAGTATATTTTTTTGCAATGAATTATCAATCACTTGTATAAATAGTAAGGAAACAATAAGATAAATATATCTTCCATCATAGTAAACTTACTGTTTAAAAATAACAACACATTTTCCACTTTTAATTCTATAACATGTCCATGTGTGTGAAATCATTTATCTAAACAAAACTGCGTAAGACAAAAATGATACGCTGTTCGAAATATGCAGTCGACGTCTGTGTCTCGTTTACAGATAGATTGACGGTAGACAAATCAAATTCTGATGGGAAATTCTCGTACGATTCGTGCGCAAACTTGGTCGTAGTTAACCAAGCTAATGTTGATGTGTCAAAGCAATAGGAAGTGACGCGAGACGCGACGAGAAGTGCTTCCATCGAGCTTACGTATACACCGTAACCCGACTTCGCCTAATGCACAGATGCCGGAGAGAAACGCGCAGCCACCCCAAATAACGAGGGGCGCAATTTGTCGTCGCGTGCAAAATTAAAACGTCCCTTCCGCTCCTTCGGCGCGCCCTTCTCGCCGTTGATATTGTCGCTACGTGAAGGAAGACTCGGCATACCAACGATCTCTCGTTACGAGTCTCGTTTACGAATTAACAAAAACATTGGAAACACGAGAGGAACGACTAATTTGCAGAGAAACTTATTTGTTGTTTCAAATGATTTAACAAGAGGCTAATGTAAATACATATTTTATGCGAGTTTATTATTTTGATATTGTATTAAGGTGCATTTACTTTATTATCGCGACATGATGGAATAACCGAGATATGAAAATTTGATTCGAAACTAAAATCAAAATTTAAGTTTGAAAATTATGAATCTTATCATACTTGTGTTTTGTTTATCTTTTATTTCTTTCCATAATTCAACGGTATTTCTTTTTGTTTTACTATTCTTTGCGTTAAATTATTTATAACTGTTTTAATATATTAAAACGAATTGTGAATTTTTAAATTAAAATTGTATTAGAAATGTGTTTAATTTAGAAAGGTGGATGACATAATCAGAAAATAATTTCTCATATTTATCCAACTAATCATGTGATTAATCATGTAAATCATGTATGAGGATGAATGATTTTCTGTTTTGTGGCCATTTCCTTTCAGTTACAACGAACGCGTTGAATAAAATTCAACATTACGCGATCGCGTTATCGCTCGTTATTGCGAGATGATGATTCAGGAGCCGACAGGGGCGGCGGACGTCACGTGTGGCGAGGGTGGTCCGTAGCTTTTCGCGTACGAAAAAAGAGGGTAGTTAGTGGACGTATCCTGGTAACGCGACGATGTAGAATGGACCCCACGTAGAATGGGACATGTGGGGCGACACGGGTCGAAAAACGAAACGGGCGTACAGAGCGAGCGCGTTGCAACTCTCAGGGGGATTGATTTGGTCCAGGTCGTTGAAGGAGGGGGGGAGGGGGAAACGGACGATATCGATTGCCCGGCATCCATCGCAGGACGCATCTACAGGGAATACACAGGAGGCGGCCTTCTATATCGAACTTCATCTTCAAGCCGGTCGCTGATTCTCATGTAGATCTCTTCCCTCTTTCGTCCTCCCTTTTGTTTCGAGACTTTCCCTTCCCGGCGATATCGAAAGCGTATATACGTACTTTCGATTACGGAAGACACTCTTCCGTCGAGTGAGTCCGACTGAATGGGGCCCTATTCATCTAAATTCCATTTCGTTCTACTTCTCATAGAAACGCGCGGGCCAACAGTAGATTCGCCATTCGCAAACTTTCAGCGACGGGTAATTCTTCTTGCTTCCCGCCGCGCCGCGGGATGATATATACCTACCTTTCTCGACGTCTCTTGGGAAAAGTTGTTCATTCAGAACGCGGCGCTTTGCAAATTTAATTGAATCACAAATTCGGGTGCTACATACTGGAGCTCGTTTTATCATCGCCGCCGTTCAGTTTGTCGATTTTCTTCGTTTTGCGACACTGAAGAAGCGTTCAATTCAGGGATCACCGCTGAAACATTCATCGATTGTTCGAGAACATTACGCAGGACGTAGGGCACTTTCCGTATTAACCGAACTACCTCACGTAATCTCCCATTAGCCTCCGGCCATGTGCGAACGTAATCTCGACAGAAACGCGCGAGCATTTTGCGTTAAATGGAAATTAGTTCGTTCTGCTCGGTTTTGCCGCGACCGATGTTTGTCTAATTATGTAATGAACGATTGAGCGATCGCTTGTGCGAAAACGCTTTGTAAAGTAACTGTAACTAGCTGTCCGTTATTGCTAAAGCTCGTATTTATAGTCGCGTTTCTATTAAAGAACCTGGCTGAAATCAATTTTATGAGCTATGGTATAATTTAATAAATAATCTTTAAGAGTCAATTAAGAAATTCTGATAAAATTTGTCTTGAGTCTGAATTTTGTTTCTTGCAGTTTATTATTTGATTCTCGAGAGAAACTTATATGAACATTAATAATTTTGAATCTTTGGATTTTTTTCGGAAATTTAAATAAGTATACATATTTAAATAAGTATTTTTTCTTCATTTGATTATCACACAGAAGTCTAGAGAACCCCGTTAGTCTTTTCATCACAATACTTGAGAAAATTACAATATAATATTGTGAATAATTTTTTTTTTTATCGATCGTAATTAAATAAAAAGTATATTCACTCAGCAGTAATATAAAATCATAATATACTACGGAAAAACATAAAAGTATATATTTAGGATTAAGAGAAGAAAAGTTACGCAAAAACCTGATTTGAAGACCAAATTTTTAATATTTTTTTTAGCAAAACAAAGATAAATTTTATTCTTTAAATAACAAACTTATTTAATTATTTTTTAAATAAATAAATTAATATGCCAATTATTTAAAGTCGTTAAAGGAAACAATTCGCTTGTAAAAATTTGCTAAAATTTGTTTATAATAATATACATTTACGTATATATCAGTCGTATCGAAACAATTCGCTCGTCAATTAGAGTTTAAGTAACAATATTTTTATTTTAAAACGCTCAGTTGGATGAAGTTTTATTATTTTCGATAACGCTAATGGGTCCTCGAAACGAAGTGCAAAATGTGCTTGCTGCAGTAGCTCGTTTATTGAAATTGATTTGAAACGGAGTATTCAATATTTTTATTTCGTAGTAAGTCAAATATTTTTTGTGATAGCAAGACCAGCTGACGTGTGGCCTTGGTGTTTGTTTTTGTTGACACGCGCTATCGTGTACGCAAAACCACAATAATACGCGCAGTGTTGTCACCCGCACGATGGGTTTGATTCGGCGGATAGCGGCGCGGGCCGTTCCGCATTCTCCATCGAAACGCAACTGTGTCTTTCTTCTTAATAATTGACGATCAAACCGCGCAGTTAATTAACTTTTGAGATTAACGTTTATTGGGGATATTTATCAAAGCAATTATTTCGCGTGATTTATTTTTTTATTGATTTGTTACGTTACTGACAGAAAAAAATGCTTCTTGAATAAGCATAAGCGATATTCGATTGAATATTTCGAATCGATATGAAACACTTTTGCTTAAATACTTCGTATATAATTTGGCGGTAAAGATTCAATTAATGAGTAAAAAGCATAGAAAGAATTTTTGAATGAATTGGAAAGCATTATTTACTCTTTTATTTGCTTTTCTTCTATTTTCTTCACTGACTGTTAGACTTTTGATTTACTTCTAATTCTTAATTTTCCTGAAAACTTTGACATGAAACCGCCTGTGCTTGTCAAACTTCTTAACTTACTACCGTTTCCATCGTCGCGGATCTCGCTTTACAGCTTGAAGGACTTCTTAGGTTTGGATTAAGCGGGTGGAAACTGCACCGTAGTTTGTATCGGATTTACATTCTGCCGGGATAATGGCCGCCAAAGTTTCGCCGAAGAGCGATGGGAGGGGACCCTAAGACAATAGATAAGACTGAACTTTCCGGAATAATTATTATCCTTCTGCTTGGACACATCGATAAATTTTCCTAGTATTCTAAGAAAACAATCACGGAGAAAGATGATACAAACTTTAATAGTTCTCATACATCACAAGTAGTTTTAAATTTTGTAGTTTTAAATATATTTTTTTATGCTATATTAATTTGCAAAACATAGGAATGTACATTGCAAAATTACAATAAATCAAAATTAATCCCTCTATTTAGGGAAGATTATGAAAAATTATGAACAAGTGGAATTAAATAGTAATAAGGCAAAAAGGAAGCTTACGAGCGTAAGTTAGATATTGCCATTTACTTAAGCCATTTACATAATGTTTACTTATAATGACTTTAACTGAATATAAAAATTTAATAACGACAAACATTTTAACCTAGTTGAAATGTTTGTCGATAATTAGCCATCTTCTACGTCAATATAAAACAATTTCGAATGTCAATAATTTATACATGAGTTTATAAGGGCGCAAGTAGAATTTAGTTATAAGTGCTTTTAGATATACTGTTTATTTATAAATATTATCTATATTTTGAAAAAAATGTTTTATTCAATAATAGTATCAATTTTTTAAAATGCACAGAATAATTCTTGTGAAAAAAAGCGAGTTTTCTCTTTTGCGATATAACATTTCACAATTGCAAATATTTCCGATTGCGAGCATTATTGCCTCTAAATGCTGCAGCGCTGCGAAAGCCGCCGATAAGGTTTCCCGGAGTGTTAATTACATTCACGTCAAACGCATCGCGTCTATCCCGTGCGGGCACACATCCTATCTCCCGGGACCTTTAGCCGTCGCAATTACGTTAGAATCACTCGATATTCCAACCCGCATAGCAACGATTCTCTATCTCGACTACTCTCTCTCCTTGTTGTATCCTTCTATCTCCCATTTCCATTTTCTCTCTCTCTCTTTCTCTCTCTCTCTCTCTCTTGCCCCTCCCTCCCTCCCTTCCTCTCCATCCCTCATCCCATCGTTTCGCAACGTCGTTTCCGATTAACATAAAGCGCATTGCCTTCTCTTCCGATTTTCTAATCCGGTAACAAAGCGCCCGACGTGATGAAGAACCGCCGTGCTCGCCGGACTCGGGGATTGTTTGAATCGATATGGTCACGAGGCGCGTTCGCTCGATAGACGAAAATCGACTTCGAATAATCGGGTATGATGCGGCGCGGTACGCAGTTTCACGAACAATGGAGTGGGATTATGCTTAGGATGAAGGGCTGAGCGTGTGTGGTTAGCCGCGGAGTCTGACGATGAATATTACGCGGCTGAATGGGGGAGCCATTGGTAAGAGAAATTGCGAGTTTTACATGCTAATTTATTCCCGTCGTTTTTTACGGCACAACGCGCTGCACGAAAAACGCGGACTACGGCTTGAAGCAATTGTAATCGCGTTATTATCGAGTCTGGTTGGAAAATCCGCGGGTTGTCGCGGACCCGATTTTATACGATCAATGCTTCATTTCGTTTCTATGCAAGCGAATGTAATTTCTTAAAAATATAATTTTTGGAATTATTTATACTTCCTTTTTTA